TGTTTGTAGGACAGCTGCTCTCTAAATGGACGAGGATAACACCAGGGAAAGTTATGTGGACTGATAAAGCTTTCAGCTGCTGAATTTACTACCTAATGCTCCCTTGTGGGACTAAGTGATCGTGCACTTCATTTTATGTGTCATTTCGATGTAGAGGTGGTATGTGATCCTTTATTAGGACTTTCCTTTCTGTCCTCTGCTGTAGAAGCAAGGTAATTGCTGTCACGCCTGATAAAGTTTGAGGTGTGAGAAACAAGGCTGATGAGAGAAATCACTTCCCCATCAGGATTACAAAATCCATTATGCAGCAACTTTAGGCACATGAGCACAGACACCTCCATAACTTCTGTACGCAGCACCTTTCTCAGCTTATTTTCCATTTATCCCATTAACTAGAAGTTATTCCTTGCTGATATACCCCAGGAAGCCACATTCTTTGTAGTTTTTGTTCTTCTCTCCCCTATTCTTGTATTCATAGCTTGGCTCAAGTGAGTCTCAATTATATTTCGAGTTTCCATGGAAGCTTCTCCTTCATGACATTCGTACCTGCCTTGTTCAGACATGCAGAGCTGCATATTTAGTGCCTCCTCAGCCCTGAATTTGTGACAGAGAACTTCTGGTTTGATTTAGATGGAAATAGGGTCATCTGGTGCTTAGAAAAGCAAGTTTGAGTTGTTAAAAGTGAGGAAAAATAGTGGGAGAATGGCTCTATATGTTTCCATAATTTCTTCAAGGGGTTTAGGCACCCAGCCCACAACTGTGGGTGCAGCCAAAACAGGATATAATCAGTTCTACTGGCCAAAAAGGGTGTGTGGTGTGACAGAAAAATCAGATTATATAACCTTCTATTCAGCAAGTCTGTGCTGCAAACCTTGAGTCATATGCTGATGCTTTTTGAGGGGCACTGATAAGATCTGCTCTTGTGAAAGAACAGGTTACATCAGGAGAAGATGCAAGGATACAGTTCTGCCAGTGCCTCCCTTCCATCCCTACTGTAAAACCTCGTGTTTCAGCTCAGATGTCTCATGCAAACAGGGCAGCACAACTTTTTTCATCCCATCCTGAGTGATGTGCAGACACAGCTTACACGGTATAAGCATAAGAAATCTTTCAGTCAAAATACAGTGGGGTTTTTCCTTTGAAATTCCAGGTTTTTCACACATCCTTTGCCACTTTACTGACCTCCACTGGGTTACAGTACTCAATTTTTCAGAAATTGCTGCAAAGTGGCACAAACAAACTACCTTCAGTGGCATTACTGACAACCTCTGAACCCAGTGCTGGTTAAAACTAGGGGAGCACACCCAAATAATGGGGAACATCCATAAAGAATAGGGTTGGCATCAACTCTGGGCCTCATCAGCTGCTCCACTAAACCACTATTTATCCAATCCTTACTCACCTGAGTCTTTTCTAGACCAGCATTCAGGACCTTGAACAAAAGGAAATGAAGAATTTCTAAATTTCCTAAAGCTCATTGTTATTCTTCCAAAATGTGACTCTGCTTGTGGCTCTAGAAGAGTTCAGATTAAGCTACATAACACTAGTGCTCTTCCCTAAAACACAGTATTCAAATTACAGCAGAAGAGGGACACTCTTCTGGTCATCAATTAGTCCCAGGAAGCAACAAGAGTTGTGATGTTTCGAACTGGAGGGGAATATGGATTCATCTTTTATGCAGATGGTGTGACACCTCTGAGGACTTGTGCAAAGTTCTTGTAATCAACTTTAATGAGAGCTATAAAGAGTTTAAGAGATATTCTGTCATAATTCCACACAAATTTGCATTTGTCAGCTTGATTGACAACAAAAATGATGGGGCATCCACAATTTCTCTGTTCCATTGTCACCACCCTTATTGCAACAAAAGTCTTCTTTATTTTTAGTCTAAACCCACCCTCTTTCAGGTTAAAGCTGTTGCTCCTTGTTCTGTGACTACATGTCTTAGAAAAATGTGTCTCTCTGTCTTCCCTATGTCCCCTTTACATATTAAAAGGCCATGGGGAACATCCTGATGTTCCTTAAAGGAGAACCCAAATTCTTTCAGACCCGTGGAAATCACAGGGTCTGACCCACAGCACCAGTTTGGCGGAACAGTCCCACATCCCAAGTCCTCAGTAGAATATTAAGACCCTCAAAAGTCCCCACCGTGGCATTTTTTCCAGCTTGATGCTCTGAACTCCAAGGAGAGAATCACAGATCCTGCTCTGAATGAGGAATGAACAGAGAACATCCTTCTGACAAGTTGCACCTCATGAGCAAGAAGAATGAGAAAAGAAAAAGAAGGAACAGGAGTTACAGGCTGCAAATAATTACTTATGGATACAATTTGCATTTTCCTCCTATATATTGCATTTTTATTAATAATTTATTTTAGTTCTTCATTATGAATAATTTCTTTTATTTATATTTTTATTTATATTTTGTTCTAGGTTGCTCAGCTTAATTAGTGCTCCTTTTTCCCCTTTTTTTTTCTTTTTGTTTTTGTGGTTTTGTGGGTTTTGTTTGTTGGTTGGCTTGTTGGGGTTTTTTTGCTTTGTGTGGCGTTTTTTCTCCTTTTATGGAGATTTTGGGTTACCTCTGATTACATCCCTTGGTTTCTTGTATTGTTGGAAGTCACAGAATCACCTTTTACTGAGGCTGTTGCTGCTGCCCATAAACTGTAATGAAAGATGAACCCATTAAAAAAATTTTACTGAGTTACAGTGAAAAAAGCAGTAAATGTATTAATCACTTAGGAGGTGTAACAGCTCAGCTTGGAAAAATCAGATTTTAACCTGCACAAAAGATCCATTTAGCCTTGCCCCAAATATCTAGGTTTTTTAATTTAGGCTTGATGACATATTTATTAAGACAAATGTTTAAGAAGGAACCATCATGCAGGTTTGGCCCACTTCACCCTGCTGCAAGGAGAAGAAAAATGGATTACAGAGCATAAAAACGTGGGATGTGTGAGAGAACAAGTGGATATCAGGTAGATGTCAAGTCAGAATTTGATGTTTATCTTTTTAGCAGCTGAGATCTTGATTGTGAAAAGATAGGTTGCAAAACACCAGTGCTTGCAAGACTGGAAATGCTCGAGTTTAGCTTAATGTGGGGTTCCAGTAGAAAAGTGAGCAGCTGGACTTAATGGAAGAGCTGTGGAGCAGATTAATAAAGGGCTGTTAGATTGTCCTGGCCATCGAGAAACACACTCCATCTCCACTTGGAGAGGTGGGGAAAAACACGGAATCTCTCAGTGATGTCACTGGAGCTTTTTACCTTCGTGCAGGATTTTAGGATCAGAGAAAGGTTGGACTTGATGGTCTTGAAGTCTTTTCTAACCCTAATGATTCTATGAAGTAGCTAAGGAGGTATGAACACAGGCCAAGGAGGGGCTGAATCCTTCCTCCTTTTCTGCTGAATATTCAAAATTGAGTATTCAGTGTAGGAGGGCAGCTAAAAGGAACAAGTTGTGCTGCCCTTCCAAAGGTGCATGCTGGTGGGCAGGAGGTGGCCTACCTCAAATGTTATAAAAACATATTCTATAAAAAGTACCAAATGTGAGCCTAAAGGGATGCCAAAGCCCAGGAATGAGAAGGAAAATGTGCTTCCTGACTGCCTACAGGGGAGAAGCAAAGAAACAGTTTGATGATAGAAGCTATTAAACCTTTTTTTAAGGCATCTTATTGCACTGGCTGACTTTGGGAGCTGTGTTGAGAAACCAGCTTTAGGACTTTCACATCTTCCTATAAGGGGGAGGAGCCATAAACACTGTGTAAACAATTTAATTGTGATAATTAGATGAGATTTCTCTTGGTTCTTTGCATCAGCATTTCCTACTTGAAATCTAAACTGCAGAATCATTACTGAGTGAGAGCTTTACCAGCCCAAGCAGACTCAAGAGCAAATGAGCACTGAGGAAAAAAAAGGCAAGTAGATGTGTGAGAAATGTTATAAATGTAAAGGAATTAATTCAAATTAATCATCAAAGACAGTAACTCAGATAAACTAACTCCAGCTTTGATCACACACTTTGAAAACTCTGTCCTAATTGTGGGTTCCTCCATCTGGGTTGCTGCTGATGTGGGTTTTAACATGTGGTTTTCTATGGAACAAAGAAATCATCGACTCAATCACAGCTTTATATTTTCAAGATTGTGGTCTGTTTTGAAAACAGAAGATTATGTAGATGCTGTGACTGTTTAGGAATATAGGAAAAGTAGAACCAAGTGTTGTTTTGCAATTAGTACTCATTTCTTGGAGTACCCAAGTCAATAGTTTACTTATAATTTTACAAACAAGAAAGGGGCACGGAGGGGGTTAAAAAAAAGCAGTTTCACAATCTCCCATCAGAATCTGGTACAACATTCAGTGTGTGCCATCCCAGGTTTATCCCAGGTGACAGAAGCATCCAGTGCAAGCTCCAAGGATTATTACTGCTCTGTGGAACCCCCTGCTCTCTGCTCCCTTTTTGCTGTGAGTGCTGGAGAACTGGAAATAGAGAAATACTGGCTTTCATCAGGTGCTAAATATAATGCTGAGTTTCCTTGAAATGGGTGTGTTTTGGTTGGGATTTTTTTAACTGCGCACAAGAATGTGCTTAATTCATGTTTCATCCAAGGGTTTCAGGGACTGTAACATCAAAGCTAAACTGCAGAGCAATATCACATTTCTGGTTAATCAGGGGTGTATTTGAAGGGAAGTTTTCCCTGTCTGAGCCAGTCCTGGGAACAGGATGAGCTTGTTGAGACCTCCCCCCCTCAAGCAGTCAGGTACCCCCCACCTATAGGTACTGCAGGGCTTTGGATGCTGGGGATGCTCTGCGGGTGCAGAACCGGGGCAGGGAAAGGGCGATTTTTTGGGGACAAACCCAACTCGGAGCAGTCGGAGCTCATGGAGAAGCTGGGGAAAGGCGGGGCAGGGGGTGCGGGAGGGCCGGGGCGGATCCCACCCTTAAATGCCACGGCGGAGCGGGATGCCGGGCTGGAGGGACGGGAGGGAGGAGGGAAGGAGGGAGGATGACCAGGCTGGGGGTTGGCGGGGCGGTGCAGGACAGGGATGGCGACGGGGATAGGGACGGGGATGGGGACACCGCGGGGCTGCGGCGCTTCACCTGGGAGGAGATCGGGCAGCGGAACGGGCGGGGGCCGGCCCCGCAGGAGCGCTGGCTGGTGATCGACAGGAAGGTGTACGACATCAGCCACTTCTGCCGGAGGCACCCGGGAGGGGCCCGGCTGCTCGTCAGCCACGCCGGGCAGGACGCCACGGTGAGGGGCGCCGGGACATGGACGGGCCGGGAGCGCCCGGGATGCGGGGGCCGAGCAGGGGGGGCCTGGGGGGGCGACTGCGGGATGCAGGGGGGGCCTGGGGGGGCGACTGCGGGATGCAGGGGTGCTCAGGGCATGGGACAGGGGCGGGGGAATGAAGCGTCACTGCCCCGTGCGAGCCTCCCCAGCCCCGCGCTGTGGACACGCAGAAATGAGGAGAGACAGCCCTCGGGGCAACGGCATCGATCCAAGTCGAGACTCTTTTAGTTTAAAGCCATTCCCCCTTTGTCCCATCCCTCCAGGCCCTTGTCCAAAGTCCCTCCCCAACTCTCTTGGAGCCCCTTCAGGTACTGGAACCGGTTCTCAGGAGGACATGGAGATGCTCCGAGGGCTGGAGCACCTCTGCTATGGAAACAGGCTGGGAGAGCCGGCAGTGCTCAGCCTGAAGAAGAGAAGGCTCCAGGGAGACCTTAAAGCCTCTTCCAGTCCTAAAGGGGTTCCAAGAGAGCTGGGAAGGGGCTTTGGACAAGGGCCTGGAGTGACAGGACAAAGAGGAATGGCTTTAAACTAAAAGAGAGTAGACTTAGATTAGATGTAAGGAAGAATTTTTACTTTGAGGATGGTGAGGCCCTGGCACAGGTTGCCCAGAGAAGCTGTGGCTGCCCCATCTCTAAAATGTTCAAGGCCAGGACTCTGAGCAACCTGGTCTAGTTTTATCTAGTTCTACAATTCTTAAACCTTTAGGATTACTTTTATCTCCTGATCTTGCTTGTGCAACTACTGTGAGCTGCAGTGATTGCTCACAGCCAGGGTAAGGTGAGAAAGCTGCCACAGGAGCTGCTTCCAGAAACACCCTTCCTAAATTCTATCCCTCCTAAATGCCCCCCAGCATAAGCTGGAGGGAAAGCAAAGACAGCAGTGCTTTTCCAGGCTGGCATCCGGAAAAGTTTCTGTAGTTATTGCTTGTGGTCCTTCTGACCTTTGGGATGAACAAAATGAAAAGAATTAGCCAGTTAAGAGGTGTCCAAGGATGGGAGTTGGTGCGTGGGTAAAAAGACTTCTGCTCATCAGGTTTGCTTGTCTTGTTTGTTTAATGCCATGGAAACTTGTGGTAAACACACACAGAACCATTCAGGAAATTCCTTGGAGTTCTTGCCTTTTAGTATGCGCAGGAGTAGAAAATAGTGGTAAATTAACATCTAGACAAAGATGTGACAAATGTGATTGTTTCTTTGCTGCGTATTTTAAAAGAAAAAAAAGAAAACCCAGACAAATAGTTCCTGATTTTCCACATATAACGGATGTTTGAGGCTCAGGAAAAATTAAGACATTATCTTTGTTGACTGGAAGATTTTAATCAAGAGCAGAAAGCCAGGAAAGGTAGCAACTCAGGAGAGGATGAAAAACACAGAAGGGGCTCAGTAAGCAAAGAAACCTGAGGGATGGTAAAATGAGGATAATTAATGCCACAATATTAGTCAGGGTGACACTGCACAAGACTGATTTAGGCATATGGTGGAGATTCATTTAATTTTGTATTGTGAAGCCTGTACACCTGCATTAATTGCAACAGTGGACATGAGCCCTCTTCTGAAATAAGATCTCATTCAAGAGCTTAGGATAAACACAGGAAGGCAAAGGCCGCAAAAGCTTGATGAATTAGGAAGATAAATGATCTTTGCTATTGTGGTTCCTCCACAGAGAATGTCTTGCACAGCAGATTGGGGTTTGTCACCTGGAATTTGGTTTTCTTACCTCTTCCTTTACTCTCGTGCATTTGCAGGATGCCTTTGTGGCATTCCATGTTGACAAGGTGCTGGTGAGCAAGTACTTGAAGCCACTGCAGATTGGGGAGCTGGCACCAGACCAACCCAGTATTGAGCCCACTAAAAATGTAAGTCTGTCCTCAAAAATCAGATCAAAGACAGATTAAAAAGATACTCTGAGATTAGACCTTGTTCTGTATCTTCCCAATTTTTGTGCTACCACTAAGAAACCATAAATGAATATTAGACTAAATCCACAATCTGTGGTTGAGAATGAGATTCCTGAAGATTATTTTTTTCTTATCACAGTAACTCCTGTTTAGCTGGGGGCCAGCTGGGCTGGAGGTGCAGATTTTTAATAGAGGAGTTTAACTCTCCTCTCTTAATCCTGGGAAGGGTAAAGTGACAATATCAATTAAGAGGAATGATTTCATCCGAAGACCTACCACAAGGTGGCACGTGAAGCTCATGCATATAAAGTACAACTAGACACAACCTCCACCTGAGCTACTGTGCTACTCTCCCCCTGCCAAGGAGGTGATGGAAGGAGCACCATAGATTAGCCTTAGGGGCTGGGGGTGCAGAAATTTGGATGGCTTCTTTGCTCTGTGCACCTTGGTAAAGACACAGAGAATCTGTAAGAGAGCCGTGAACAGTTTATTTGTGTGCAAGCCCAAGTCTTGCCCTTTTAGCCAGAGCCTTTGCTCTTTCTTTCCTCAATTGTTTTTTGGGTTATGAGGCTGCAGTGCCATCTAAAACCAGAGAATGTATAACCCTGGTGCTTTCCCCAGGAAATGCTGGTGAAAGATTTCCGGGAATTGCGTGATACTGTCGAGAAAACGGGACTTATGGAGCCAAATCAGCTTTTCTTCTTCCTGCACCTCGCTCACATCCTGCTGCTGGATTCTGCTGCCTGGCTCATTCTCTTCTACTTTGGGACATCCTTAATGCCTTTTGTTGTCTCCCTGCTCGTGTTGACAATTTCCCAGGTAAGCAACGGAGCCCACAGAATGTGCACAAGGACTTCCATCACCTTTCATCCACTTACATTTCCTAGTCCTTCATTTCCTGACTTGGCACAAGTCCTCCTTTGTCATAAGAAAACAACAACTATATGGATATAAATAAGAAATTCTGCATGTGGGGGGCTCCCACTAAACTTAGTCTGGCATCCTTTCAGTGAGATATATTCTGGGGAAGGCCTTAAGAGCATCAGGATTTCATAGTCCCTTTCTGATGGTGACTTTGGAGCGGTGTCAGAGAAGTAAAGCTGGGTATTTCAAAGCAAAGGATGGATGTGGCACCATCCTGGTCTTCTCCCCTCCCAAAGTTTTCTTTTTCCTCTTCCAGGTCCAGGCTTCGTGGCTACAACATGATTTAGGACACCTTTCAGTATTCAGGAAGACCAAGTGGAACCACTTGCTGCACAAGTTTGTGATGTGCCACTTGATTGTAAGTACCTGACCCTGGAAAACTGCTGAGATTGGATGGTTTTCCTGTAAAAACATGCATTCTGAAGACTCTGTGGGGGATTCTGTTCAGCATTGGGGGAAGTGGGAAACTGGGGAGAATCTGGCTCTGAAAGCATCATACTTTTCACACTTTGTTCTTCATTTAAAAAGGGGGCATCAGCCAATTGGTGGACTCTTCTGCACTCCCAGCACCACTCCAAACCCAACTGCTTCCATAAAGACCCTGACATCGATATGCACCCTTTCCTGTTCACTTTGGGGAAGAAACTCTCAGTGGAGGTCAGTGTGTGTGCATGGGAAGAACACCTCAGTCAACAAAACCATGCCGGACCATAAAGATCTAAAAGTGAGATGTGATGGCAGTTTCTGCAAAAAGATTGGGTCTACTTTCTTCATAGTTCACATTAAATCCCTTTAAGAATATCTTAAACAGCTGACAAGTTGTAAATAAATTAGACATGATGTACGTGCATCACACATAGGGTGAAAAACCCACCAGCAAAAGGACTGTTAATGGTTATAGAAACTTAACGACCTGGAACACCAACTCAGTAATTTATGATTATTAGATAACCTGTAAACATTAATATGAAGCATGTCTGCAGTTGGTCTTTTTTATATTATATTTATATTACTATTTATATTAATGTCAGAGGCTCAGAGATACAAGTGCCTTTGGCATGGCTGTGTCTGCCAGAAGGCAGAAGCCTTGCTGTGATAGGAACAGCAGGAGTTAATAACTCAGGGCTGTTCCTGTAGCTCTAGTCAGGCAGAAGTCATTTGACCGTACAGGATGTGCCTGGACACTTCCAGAAGTGACAACCTAAGAGTGCTGAACCCTTTTTGCTATAAATCTTCATCAGTTCTTGAATCCCTGTCACAGCAGCTACAGCAGTGAAATATTTTTCTCCTTGGCAGACCTTTGCCATCATGAAGCTGTCACTTAAGTGCATAAAATCACAGAAGACAGTAGGGGGGGAAATGGGAGAAAATACATATAACTATTTTTGACTGATAATACAATTTAGCTTTGAAATATCTAATTCCTCACAAAATTAATTATGAATGTGGCAAGAATGTAAAACCAATAAATTCATCAGCTAAAATTCACCTCTGTCCATGCTCAATGTTCTTTTTACCATAACTTACAGATCACACCATCTTTTAATGGATAAAGGCATCAAATCCCTACATTAATGCAATGAGGGTTTATAGACAATATTATATTTGTAAACTAATAGGAGGGGGACAGAAGGAATGAGGCTTGTGGGAAGTCTGCAAGAACGTGCCTCTGGAAAATAAATGGAAAAGAGCAAGTTAGCTGTGCAAATTTCCTAGTTGCCACTCAGTAATTTGTTTTTCTGGATTGTTTTCACAGCTTGGGATCAAAAAGAAGAAGTACATGCCCTACAATCACCAACACAAATACTTCTTCATCAGTGAGTATCTCCATTCTCCTGCAATACCATGAGGGGTAGGTATTAATGGAGCTTGCAGATTCTACTTTTGACCTGTAGAAATTCAGCAGAATGAAGGTACCTGTGTCAAAGAGCACAATAAAAGAACATAATAACCTAGTTTTTGGAACAGCTGAAGACCTGACTGGATCAAGCCCCAAGCAAATGGTCTAACCTCAGAGCTGGTGCTGCTCCAAGATCCTCAGGTCCTTTCCAGCCTGAATTATCTTATCTGTGTGAGATCAGGTTTCTGTGCCCTTTTTGACTTGAAACACATTGATTTGGTTTGAGAATTTTCAGCCAAATGTTGTTTGTTCCAGAGTAGAAAAAGTAGGGGGGTACTCTTATACCAGGTCATCTTAAAATTGTATGGCTTTGCAATAATAAACATACAGCTATTTGGACAGAGAAAAGGAGAAAGTCTCTTAACTCCTTAATTAAGGAAGTTGAGATGAGGCTCCAGGGGCTGTTTGGGAGCTGTATAATGAGGGTTAATAAACTATATAAAGAGAGGAGAGGGAAAAACTCAGAATTTCTCCCATCGGTGCCCTGATCTCCAGGCTCACTCTTTCTTCCCTCTTCTTCCCACCCTAGTGAAGCTTTATGAAGCTTTATTCCTTTTGCAAAGCAATCAACTTTTGCCTCTCTCCAGAATAGTCTGAAGTTTCCTTCTTGCTTGAAAATGGACAGTATGAATTTGAACCATAAAACCCAGCAGAAATGGACACTTTGATTTGACTAATTTCACCTATTTTTTTACCCTTAACCTCTGAAGAAGGCAAGAACTGCTCCCAGCAGTGTCAGGTCTCTCTCTTCTGGCTAACAGGAACAGCAGGGTTAGTTCAGGTGTGAATATCTCAGATATACAATTCCAAGATGCCTGGTTGAGGAAGGAGATCGTATCTCCGATCTCCCACATCCTCCACAGAGGCTCTGGGTTATGATATCACACCACATCTTTCAGTACTTTTCAAATTTAAATAATAGTCTGTGGGGTTTTTGTGGGTTTGGGGGTTTTTCTTTGCAAGTGAGATGTGTATTTGGAAGGTTGATATTTTAATTCTCCAACCCCAAATCCCTGGTAGGTGAGGGATTTCGTGTGTATTCTCATTGTTCCCTGCTTTGTACAGCAGAATGAGGAGCCAGATAAGCTTTGGGCTTTGGAAACCACTTCTCAAAATACTCACTTGCGGCTGTTCCCCAGCTAAAAGCCTAAAATGAAGTCTGAGGTTTGTAAGCACCACCAGATCAGTGGACAGATCCAGTCATTCAGTCCATGACATTCCCAATGATATTGGATTTTTCCCTACAGCTCTTCCTCCACTCCTGTTTCCCACCTACTTCCACTGGCATACATTCTACATTGCTTACACAAAAAGGTATTGGGTGGTAAGTACTGCTCCTTGTGTGACAAAAGGGGGTCAGCTGGGGGCCTTCAACCTTCTGAGCTCTGTGGAAAAGCTGTGCCTATAAAAATCTCCTTACTGGGTGTGAAAGCTCAGATTCATCTCTTATACAAGCCATAAAAAATTATTATTAACTTGTGTTAACTTGAATTTCTTCAGATTATACCATTCAGAAAAAAAACCCAAAACTACAAAAGCTGAATGTAAATTATTCTCTTGCACATATAAATGAAGATTAGAAAGACTTAAGGAAAAGTAATTCACTTTTTTTTTTTCCTTTTCTTGTTGTCTCTGCTTTTGGTAGGACTTGGCCTGGATGGTGACCTTCTATATCAGATTCTTTTATATTTATGGATCATTATTAGAAATAAAGAGTGTCCTGGCATATTATTTTATATTCAGGTGATGTCTCTTTAGCTTTCCTCTAGACATTCTTTCCATCTGTACCTGCCTGCCTTTGTCTGCCTCTGCTTATCTTACCACATTCTCCCTTAACCACCTCGTTTTTTGCTTAGTGTTTTAATTCCATAAAGTTAAACTAACACTCATCTGCTCAATTGCCAGGGCAAGTTTTAGGTTGCTGTGGCAGCAAAGAGACTTCATTGGGTGCTGACCAAATTAAGAAATACTTATCTTAAATTACATTCAGTGCTTTGGGTGTTGGGTCTTCTACTGGTTAAGAGAACATTTAACCAAAACAGCTTAGTCTGGGCTTGCAAATACCCAGGTTTGAATGGACAACACACTCTCCACTTGGACCATTTCACTGATTTTAATCAGTTTGGTCCTTGGCTGCAGATAAAACAAGCTGCACACAAGCTATGTCAGTGTTAAAACACATTAAATAATCATGAGTTTCAAAAGGAAGTATGAAACTTCCAGGTTTTGGAAGTTCTTCCAGGTGCTGGATTAGCAAGGTTGGTGTTCAACCATGTCTTTGTGAGTCTGGCTATGCTGTTAATTGATGGCTCATCACTAACCCTCCCACCTGACGCTGGATTCTGCCCTCTGGTCTGATTGCACAGGATGCTGGAGAGCAGCTGGTTTGTCTGGGTTTCCCAGATGAACCACATCCCTATGGATATTTACTATGACAAGAACCTGGACTGGGTGTCTACGCAGGTAAAATATTTTTCTATTCTTAAGGATTGTGGCCATACAGGTACAAATTTTAACCATAAGATAAGCAAGACTCCAATGGCATTGGGGATGAAACCCGCTGGCAACTGGGCAGGGAAGGTTAGCAGGGTAATGGATTCACTTATGGAAATGGTAAAGGAGCACAGCAATGACACATTCATGGGCAATCTAAAATCAAACCCAGGTCCCAGCTCCAGTTCCTAAACACACTATCTCCTCACTTTCTGCAAGACCCAACTCCTAGCTTTACCATGGTCCAGTTTAGCCAGTCTGTACATCTGCTGGCTGACAAAGCTGCAGGACGGTTATGATCCCTGGCTGGAGGTAGCTCAGCTTAGGCTAAAAGAAAACAATAGAGCAGAGCAGCACAGTGCTCTTCAGAGAGATGAGAAAGGCTGCAGTTACTAAGCTGGACTAACTTTGCTTTCCTTTGCCCTCCTCTAGCTCCAGGCAACGTGTAATGTTGAGCAGTCACTTTTCAATGACTGGTTCACTGGGCATCTGAACTTCCAGATTGAACATCAGTGAGTGCACACACGAAGAGGGAATTTTCTTCCCTCCTTTTATTTAAAACTATTTTTTATTCCTCTTTCTTTTCCCTTCTCTTCTTTGCTCTGAATTCTACAAATAGTTGTGGGGCACCAATGAGTTTGTCTTTAAAAAGACTGAAACCCCTAAAGAAAATCACAGGGATGACAAGTGAAAATGGAACATGGGCAGCAACACGGTCTATCTCAAGTAGTAGCTTGTAAGGATTAGGGAAAATATCCATGTTACATCACCTGTTTATACTGTGCCACAGTAGTTAAGCCCACTTATGCTGACTATTTATGCTGTTACTTTAGAGAATGAGAAGGATGGGCTCACCTCCTTCTCTGTGCTACAAAGGTGGTTAATTCTGGAAAGAGGGCAGGGGGAAAGTAGTTTCTTCTATAAGCAGCACTTAATTCGGAGAAACATTGTTTTGAAGATGCTAGAGACAAACTGGGGGGAAAAAAAGAGGGGGAAAAGCAGGAAAAGTTGTATAAGTCATAAAAGAAAGAAGAGCTGGGAGCAGCTACAGACCCTGCTCAGTGCAAGCTGGGTGATTCCTGAGAAGTATGAATGGATGTGGACACGAGAAAGGCAGGATTTCTCATGGAGCACTGGAAGAGAACCTGCCTGTCTCATGTTCACAGCCTGTTCCCCACAATGCCAAGACACAACTACTGGAAGGTGGCCCCTCTGGTGAAGTCCCTGTGTGCCAAGCACGGCCTGGAGTATCAGTGCAAGCCCCTGCTCACGGCCTTTGCAGACATCGTGCAGTAAGTGAAGCACACAAAAAGGCAGAAGGATTGCAGGAGGAGGCCCTCACCGACACTCCTCTAAGCAATGTGTCCTCTCTCTCCCTCTCCCAGTTCCCTGAAAAGCTCAGGAGAGCTCTGGCTCGACGCCTACCTGCACAAATAAGAAGCCAAGGATTGGTGGTGCCATTCAGAACCTGCCATGTCTGCATTCCCAGCAGAGCTGAGGAGCAGGGATCACAAGGGACTCTCTTGAGTCTCAAGAGAATGAATAAGAACTGAAGGATACCATTCCAATAGGGATGAAGCCGCCTGAATTTTACTTCTGGTCTTTCCTGGGGTTTTGGTTCAGATCTGTTAAGAGTGGGGAGGGCAAGCAGAAGGTGAATTGTTAGAACAGGGAGAAGCTCTTTGCTAAATATGTCTGAGCATTTCTGAGTCTGAGCACGGGCTCAAGTCAGACTTTGGACTGGTGCAGATGCACACACCTCACTTCATGTCAGAGTCCTCTGACCATGTTTCCTTAGGTTCTCCTCACGTGGAAGGTTTAATGTTTAATACAATATTTGCTTATTTGAAGTTACTTGAAATTGCAATTTGAATTTGTTCCAGCAATGTGGTTAAATCATAATAAGTTATAACAAACTACAGATCACAGTTGAATAAATAAATGTAAAAAACAATTAATTGACAAATTAATAAATAAATGTAAATGTGTTTCCATTACTGTTCTCAAACACTTAATGCCTTGTACTCTTTCAAGCCACATTCTTTGTCTTCACTTCTCAAAGCTGCTACTATTATACCAATTCTATATATTAAGAGACAGCTATTTCTTATTTTACTGCTTGGTACTGCTACCCATGTAAAGACCATACTACAGAAAGATAAACCAAAAGTAAAATAAGTTATCTATAGACCTTTGGTCAAATAGAAAAGTTGCTGTTGCAGCTAAACCAAATAAAAAGTTGCAGGTAAAGTATCAGACTGAGCAAGGCTGAGAAGCCTCAGTTCCAAGGCTTTGCAAACACAACTAATTTTTGGAGGTTATTCAGAAAGTCACATCGTGTTTCTAAGCACTCTGTGACGTTTTGGGGGTCAGAGAGCTGCCCTTCCCAGCTGAGAGTTTGGATTACAAATAAAATCAGGTGAGGAAGGTGGGACAAGCAAGCAGGGAAAAGGGGAGAGTTAGATAGTTGCTTATGCAAGTCTGGCTTGCAGGAACAGCAGCCACGTGAACTGGTCATGATGCAAAGCTGGTCTTAATCCAAGACTAGATCCTGGCTCCTTTTTAAAGCAGCATCAGCCAGCTGGACTTAGGAAAAGGCCATATACCATAAGGGAATAAAAGTACAGGACCCAGACTCAAGGCTTTAAGGGAGACATGGATTTTTGTGTGTCAAAGCTTATTAAGCTCAAGCTTGTTAAAGCAGTTTTGAGAGTTCAAGGGTAAATGGAATTACCTGAGTGGACTCAGATTTTGGCTATGCCAGGAAAAAGGTGAGTCAGGGAAAGAGGTTGATCCAGGTGCTTGAATCACCCCTGAGAGGAGGTAATATCTTTCCATTAATTAGTAAGAGAGCATGATCTTTGTCTAAATTGAGTTCCACAGTACTGAGACCCTGAAATAAAAGACCAGCTTTTGGAAAGGGGACTGTGGGAACAACAAAAGCTGAGTACCAGCAGTTACAACCACTTTTGAGAATAATGTAAAGTTAATATAAATAGAAATCTCAGAAGGTAAAAAGTAAGATATAAAAAAGCCTCTGCTGATACAATGAATGGACTTTGTGTCGTTTGTGCAATGACTGAATTACATGTACCATGCTCAGCACTGGCTTCTACTTAAAAACCTTTAACCCCTGCACAGGCAGCCAGAACATGTGAAAGATTTGCTATTAAACCATTTTCTGCCTTGGAAAATGTGCAATTATGGTTAGGGGTTAACAGCAAAAAGTCTAACTCCTAACTGACCTATGGGAGTAAAAGCAGCAATTCCCCAAAATTCTGTGTAAATGAGTCAAACAATCAGTTACTCACAAACTCATTTCCACTACTTTAAAAAGCCTTTCAAAACTACCTTAAGTAGTCTTTGAAAATTTATTGGGTAGATGAAAAGCCTGATTTTGAAGATCCTTATTTGATTTTTGGACCTTTGACATCATTGGGCTCTTGGTGCAACTTGCAGTCAGGACCCTGCAAGTCAAAACGCAATTAAAAAAAGAGAGCCGTAAATGTTTTTAGCACAAATGAGGAAAGGTGTGTAAGAAAGTTGAGCAAGACTGAGGTGAAGGGCTGTGGATAAATATGGAATAAAGCCTAAGCAATATGGATCAATGCCAGAGCAAATAGGAGTTGCCGATTATCTTTGACCAATCCTATCAGAATCAGCCCCAGAGGAAAGGCTGCCGGCATTCCCTCAGGAAAATATTTGATAGCTGGGTGAGATTTTACAAAGAAGGTAGGGAACACATACAAATAGTTATACAACCGCAGAAAACAAACAAACAAACAAACAAAAAACCACAAAAAAACTTCTTATGTAAAACAGTTATGGTACATGGAAACAGAGTGAAAGTAAAATAAGCACCAACACTAAAGCATCTTCTCCAAATGGGAAGAACAGTGAAAATAACACAAAATATTAACTGACTTATTCTAAAATACACCCCTGATTCCTGCAACTCTGAAAGGCAAATTCTGTTCTTTTCCAATGGTCTTATCTTGGAATCAGAGGTTCAGGAGAGACAAGTTTCCCCTGGAAATAATAGTGAAAGTTTAAATTCAAAGTGAAGTATTTTTCCAATAAAATCTCTCCGGAAAAGGGCCCTGTTTTAAGAAACAACGTGCATCACAAATTTCATTTTACATACAACACCTCACATTAACAGACATACTAAATAAATCTAAATAAATGAAATAAGCACTTTATTTTCTGTGTTGTAAAGCTGAATAGCAAATAATTTTAAAAAATCTTGACTATTTTAACAAACAGCTGTGTCAATTCAAATGTTGACAGATCTTAGCCAAAATTTTTATAATATAATCACCATGTTTATTTCATGGAAGTGTTGAAACTATTGCTCATCCTGCAGCCCTCATAAACTTGCACATATACACCTACCAGATGCATAATTTTATTAAAAGAAGCTTGAAACTTATTTAACTCTAAATAAAGAGTAGCGTTTAGGCAAAGTACTGAGTGTTTAAAGCATCTTGCACTCTGCAATAAGTAAAGCAGGAAAAATGAGCAGATTCCTTCATCCTTGTTTTTTCCAAATTCTCTCCACAAAACCAAGAGCATTAAGACCCTGTAGACAATATAGGAGCTATGATTAAGCGGAGCTACATACTTTTATCTCTTTCACACACATCAATATTGATGTTCCCCCTCAACTCGAGCTACACAAAAAATAACACCAGAATTACTGCCTGATTTAACTGGGTATAACAGAAAGATCAGAGGGGAAAACGCAAGTGAGACAAACTACATTAAATTCCTGGTAAAGATTCCACCTTTAGGCAGAGCTGGTATTGTGTAATGTAAGGGCCTGAGCAGAGGTGGTTGGAACAGGTCGTGCAGCCCTCGGCTCAGGCAGGGTCAAACCTTCACTCCAGCACCCAACAAAAGGGGATGTTTGGCCAAACAGGTAATTTATTTTGCATGTTTTCCTTTGATCTGTTCTATCAAGACAATGCCAAGGTGAAGAAACATGTTTAATTGAGTTTTTTAAAAGCGAGGAGGAAGCAAAAAGAAGGCTGGACGTGGGCAATGAGGGCAAAGTGACTGCAGTGGATGGAATAAAGCAAGTTAAAGGGGAAGAGAGAAATGAGTATTTAGATTCAGGTGTTCCAGTGTTTTCCATCTCCTGGAGAGCTTCTCACAAACACAGTCCATGTACAGAGTAAGAGACCAACTTCCACAAGAGCTCAGTTACCACTTTTTCACACACTTCCAGAGCAATCCAGTCACATCCTGTAAGCCAGGCTTAAAGCTGCCAATTTGCCCAGCTCCCATCCCAGGGAAGGTTGGCTTAAGGCATTTTTTATTTTCAGTCTATTTGGGGAGTGTTGCAGCTGCAACTAGGTCTGCAAACAGAATTTCTCATCTATCTCTCCTCAATAATTCTTACAAAATATATGCACAGGGTCAAAGATTCCCAAGACTTAAGTGTGGAAAATAGGATCATACAATAGTTTGGCTTCCCAGCTATTTGTAGGAAAGTGCATCCACTTGTGTGTCAATCCTGAATCAACAATCAGAGAGAGGAGGATAATTGCACTAGGGAAAACAAACAAACAAACAAACAATAAAATAAAATAATAACGAAGTTCCCAATACTGGTCAAAGTTTTAAAATGGGGAAACGTGAGAGAAATGAGCAAAGAATAAATATTGACATTTACTGACACAATAAATCTATATAAAGCATTCTCTGTTTTATCACGTTATGAAACAGGAAACCAAGGTTTTTTTCTGACTTAGTCCATTAGAGATTTACAGTATTTGAATCATAAGATTCCACTAAGCAAAAAGCCTTTTATAATCTTGTAAAGATTTAAATGAAATGGATTAAGATCAAGGTGAATTTCTGAGGTTCATAAGAAATCATGAAGACGTTGTCTTCTTTGACCTCCTTGATTCAGCTACTTTGGTCTGGGAGGCAGAATGTAAAATTATTTTGTCTTTTTCATTAAAAAGGCATTAAAACTCTCAGTTTACCAAGCTTCAGTGAGTGATACAAAAATAAATTTCAGCCCAGCTCCTGAGAGCTCTCCTCAGGGAGATTTCCAGCTGCTCTGGGGTGGGAGTTTGGCTTCGGGTGGAACTCCAGCGTGACAAAATCCAAACTTTCATCACACAACCAAATCCCAGGCTCTGCTCAGCAATCCAGGCTGTAAAAGTGTCATCATTAACAGGGAACTATCAGGATATACTTCAACTGTTATTTTTACACCACTGCCTCATTGTTCAGCCTTGATTTGCTTTCCCAGAGTGTGTAACTGTGCACCCTTTTACAAGCTTTTGCAAACTCAGGGATTCTTCAGGAATATTCTTCGGTCTGACTGATCCATTTGCACAACTGAAATCACTTTGAATGAGATAACCTCAGGATTTTTCATGTGAGAGAAACTTCCACAGGAAAAGTACATTGATATGGCACAGAAGAGAACAGGAACGTGATAGATTTGTACGTACCTCAAACAGCTGTTTGTGAGAAGATGGTACAGCACAGACTAAAAGTCTTTAGTTCTTAGGTTGGATTCAAGAGCTAAGTTAGAATCCTGCAATTACTGAAACATAAACCACAAATCTGGCAAAACTGCCTTAATTTCATGTCAAATCATCAAAATAGAGCCTTAGTGCTTTTCCAGTTCTGTCCAAAATGGACTTAGGCAACTGCTTGGGTTGCACCCTTGACGTCAACAGAGTCCAGGGTATGCTCAAGTCCACATTTGCATGTCATGACCTTTGTCCTGACCCCACAATTTTGAGTTTAAGTTCTACAATTTCAGCTTAAGTTCTACAATATTGCCTGGGGGGAATGGCCAAGCTTCACCACACACTGCAAATCTTCATATAATGTACTATCAACAGGAGATCAGAACATGCAACATTTCTCTGGACTGATTGCCTTCTGCAAGGCTGCTCTGAAGCCCCAAACCCCACACCAAACTAAACTCAGAGTGCAGAAAAGTCGCAGAAGGGCCATCTACCAACCTCCTGCAGCAACCAGGGACAGAGAACCCTGTCCAACCTGGCCTTAAACACTTCCAGGGATGGGGCAGCCACAGCTTCTCCAGGCAACCTGTGCCAGGGCCTCCCCACCCTCATAGGGAAACATTTGGTGAGAAAACAGTGACTCACAGATCCGCCTGTCTGAGAATTTATGTATCAGATCCCCAGAGAACAAACAGGCTTTTTCTCCAAGATGAATAACAATATTTGGCAAATCAACATGATTGGTTTGATGGATGCTGAAGTTATGGATACCTATGCACTGCTTAGGAGACAATTTCCATTCACGGCTTCCACCATGCAATGAGCCAGCTGGGTTCAAGAAAGTCCTGATTTCCTTTTTCCAATATATTTAAAGCAGTAACAGTCTGATCCAAACCTAGCTCACCCTTCTTCCCTGGATAACATGTAGCAACCCCATGAACTCACTCATGTCGTGGCACAGCTCACCTCAACAAATGGGATTTGAGAATCTACTCAGGTTTTTTGGATACTCAAGATCAAACATTTTGGGAAAGGGAAAACAACCTAGGAATAAAGGCCCATGAGAAGGAGAAGAACTCCTGAAGAAGCTGTAATTTCCAAAACATTAGTTTCAAATTCGTTACCAATTCCACTGTTACAGATGAGCATCTGAAATAAAACTGTAATAAGAAAACACTGAGAAATTCTCCTCTATAGATCCCTGAAAATTGTAATGACACAACCTGTCAAAGCAATGTTTGATTTTAATTGAATAAAACACAAAATCAAAACACGAGTGAGATTGTGCCATGTCAACAGTCTATAATTCTCACAGTAAGTAGCTGTAAATGGATTTGTTGTCTCATTTGTCTGAAGAAACAGCATTATTGTTCTTCCAGTGTTGCCCAACCCTCTCAGCACCTTCTGAAAAAGCCAAGTTTTCTGTGTGACACTTGTCATGGCCAGTTTAGCAGCATAACACAGGTCATTTAAGCACAACTGTGTAGTTGAAATGTGAGTTTTCAGAACAAAGGCAGCTGCAAAAGGTACATACAACCTACCCAGCCCATTCCATGTCTCCTCATCACTGCACAAGGTGTTTCCTCCTCTCTGTTCCTCATTCCCTGGTGCTTGATTTTCTTTTTTAACTTGACACCATCCAAATTTTAGCCTAATTGCTAAACTACTCTAAATTACAGAAGAATTTATTAATAATGATAATTTATGGGCATGGTCTGATACTTTGCAATGTACAACAAGACACACAGTTCCTTACCTGGGAAAGAAAAAGTAGGGATTTAGGAACAAAATAACTACATTTGGAAACTGATACCAATTACCCAGAACTTCAACAGCTTCTGCACCATCTCCAAAAAAAGCTGATGAAGTTATGAACTTCCTAGATTAAAACACACTATTTGAAGACATTTTCACAGAAAACATGTAGCCAAGAGATTTTTAAATTCGGTTTATTTCAGAAGCAAAAGACAACAATATAATTCACTTAGCAGATACAACCAAAATTAAGAAGATTAGGCCTTGTTTAATCTTTTCCAAAACTCATTAGGATTCAATGTTCCAGCAAGAAATATTCCCACCTAATCACGTAGCTCTTTCACAGCTCCCACCTGCCTGATCAGGTAAAAATCCAATGGAATACCAAATACAATAGGTTATCAGTTCATATTATTTTACTGCACCTCTATCCCAGATAATTTAACACTATATATTAGTAGATCACTGAGCTGCAGAAAAAGTAGCTTTCTACTTAATTTTAATTAATAGCTTTCTAATTTAATGGGACAGCACTTAGTATGTACTTTTCTTTATCTATCTGCCATCACTTCTGGGAATTCCCACTTAAATGTCAAATCAGGAAATAATGCTATTCAAAATACAACTCAAGACAAACCCAAAAGTGCACTGAATATTGAAAAATCACCTCCAAACTGCCATGATTTGATGTTTTTATCACATTTGTCTGAGTTAAGTGTTAGTAGCTGGGCTCTGAAATGCTCTGTATTTAGCTTGGACACTGATTATATTAGGTAACATTAAACATGCCTAAAATCAGGCTTTATACATATTTTCTAGATACCTACATTCACAAGAACATTCCACTTTAAAGTCTTATTCTGAAAACTAGCTATGGCTTGATCCAGAAATAGCAATATCAGATTATTGCAGTAAAACAACAGAACTTCAGGAACCATTTGGAATAATTTTGAAAGGCCCTGAGCTTGAATTCAGTCAAGTTAAAAATATTTGTGCATTTGGAGGTTAATCTGTCAAACAGGTGGCATATTTATATTTTTCTATTTTTCTATTTAATTTCTTACAGATTAGAAAGAACAATTTACCTCCCTGTGCCTGAAAGGACTTTAAGATGGAATCAAATTTCTTGGACAGTGTATGGAATAAGAAAATAACCTTTCCTATGTCCCCTATGTCAGTTATATCCCAACCAAGCATTAGCAAGCAAAGATTATCTTAAAACACATATTGGGATAAAATTTACCTATATTCAGATTAAATTTTGTAGTTAACTTCATTTCTACCATAAGGAATGAGACAGACCAACATTTTACTCAAACTACTGCATAACATTTTACCTCTGGAAGGCCAAAACTGAAATTTAAAGGATGCATTTACAAATACATGCAGATAACTATTTTATAAGAAATAATTGAGCAAAATCAATTTTTTAACATTACAAGTTTATCCATGAGGACAATCACAGTGTCATTATAGAAATCCTACTGTGTGATTTAGCCAGGAAAGTTTGACACAACAAAATTAGACAGTATTTTGATTAGAAGAGAATTTCTAACCACGAATTGCCTTTAAAAACACCATATCAAGCAGTAAAGCACTTGTGTTGAAAGGCACTATTGAGGGGATCATTAGCTCGTGTCACCTGGTTTCCAATACAGATAAAAGCACTTGGAAGCTCAGTAAATCACAACTTAGAACACTCCCGTGTTTGGGCCAAGATCTGCTACATTCATGAACGTGTTCAACTGGTTCCTGTGCAGTTGCAGGGATGCAAAATTCATAAAGCAAATCTCTGCAGGATGTTTTACAAGTTGGATCTTTCCTTGACAGACATACGAGATGTGGACTGTGTGTATGTCCTAATCACATCCTAAAAATAACACAGCACTTCCGTTAAAATTAGAGAACTTCAGAGAAAAAATGAGTACTTGAGTCAATGCTGTGGCTCCTTGGAGCAAGCACTGAGCCCAGGAAAGGCTTGTGGAAATGCTTCATTACCATTACAAAGAGGGGGTAATTAACCTGAACACATCACAGATCACATACAGTTATTTTCCAGAAGCTTTACAAACCCCAGTTGACACAAAGTAATTGCACATCATTGGTTAATCAACATTTAATTGAGTGTTATTAGAGTGATGTTTCCTTATTTTGTAATTCTACATGCACTGACTTCTGGCCTTCAAATCAAATGGGAATCAGAACCAATTTCTCACTTCACTGGATTTACAAGAGAAGTCAAAAGAATTCACAGCCAATCAAAAATCAGCTACAAAAATCATGACCATACCTTTTTCCCACTCTCAGCATTGTACTTGTCCAGCAAAGCCTGGACACAGGCACCATAGTTAGGATGAACGTCAGTGAAGTTTTTCACCTAAACAGGAAGACAGAACAGAAAAGGCAACAGGAATTTTTTCCTCCATTTCAAACATATTCTTTAGCATGTTTCTGCTCTGTAGTTTACAAGCAGTACTTGTATCATAAGGACAAAAAGGAGGATGAAAACTCTTTTCTCTAAGTTTAATTCTGACCAGCCAGAAATGAGATATGAACATCTTGAAACACTATTTCTGCTGTCTCACCTAGAGCTCATTCTCAATTTAAACCAAATTACACTGGGAAGAATAAAGATCCAATCCCTTCCAGGCCCTCACTGCCTTTTCCTTGTTTAGAGCTAAACATTACACTGGCAATCATCTGATTTTTTAAGCACCAAGCTAAATACATCCTAAATGTTCAATATCTACCCTATTCTTCCCACCAGGAAAAGGTTATTTTAACATGTTGTATGTTATTTATATTATGTAAATAGGCACATCTGTATTGAGAATTCCTGTGTAAGAAGAAATCCAGCCTTCTCAGAGAATTCCTGATCTTTTTTTCCATAAGCATGTTGCCATTTTGACAAAATTAATGGACTGGGAGAAAACCTGGAATAAAGAGCCAAGGCTAAAAACCAAAGAGGCCACTTACAGCTCGTTTCTGGATGAAGAGTTGTGCATCCTTCAGGTGCTCAGCAATGTTTTTACAGAGCCTTTGGCGTTCTGCCTCATTCAGCACTTTGAGGTAGAATTCCCGTACCTTGCCATTGGAAAAAAAAAAAGGGTTATTTGGAAATTCCCAAAAGCAAGCAGTTAGAAAATACTCAGAACACTCAAAATACTTAAAACTCAAAAGGCAACCAACCTGTGAGGGTTTTCCTTTGGCAAACCTGCTACCAATTCCTTCTGGTTCTAACTTGAACTAACTGTTGCTTATGGAATTAATGAAAATAAATATTGCTGTTAGGATCTAATTCAGGAATTGAGGATCACAGCATGACACACTCCAGTTTGTATATCTGCAGATACTACTGGCAAGAAGTCACGTCGCAGCCTTTTATATATTGATGCCCAAAATATGGATGGCAAAGGTCTGGGACAATTCACTAATTGTCCTGCCAGCAAAAATTCAGTTATTCATGGAACTGTGCTGTTTGGAGACTTTCAGCTCAGCCCAGATGCTTCAGAAAGGAGCTACGTCTGCACAACACTATTAATATTCTCTAAAGTCACCCTGTAAACCCATCCTGTCCTTCCATGCCCCACACCTGAGTCACATTGTCCTCATTGGCACTGTTGTAGCGCTGCACGTCCCCTGAAACGAACGTTCGGCTCTCCTTAAGCTGGGGCTGATCTTCTGGACCAGTAAAGCTATTGGGGTAATAATTTGGGGCACCACCTGGAAACAAATAAAAACAACCCCCCAAAAGCCAAAACAATCAGATGCCAGCACTCTCAGATTAAGCCAGAAGACAATGTTCTTTGCTTAGAAGAACATAAGCTTCCCTATACAGGGGGTGTATTTTAAACACAAACTTACAGAACTGCATAAAAATGAACTTATTATCTGTTCCTGGCCAAGAGCAGCTGTTCTCTTGTTTTTCAAATATTTCCTTCTCCTCCCTCAGCAGGTGTCAGAATCCCCAGCCCAAGGGAATACATATTTTGGCATGAGCCACAGCTTAAGTATATCCTTGTTTACTCTCAGGTGTAAAACTGTCACTATTGGGCAAACACTGACAGGCCATGAGCTGCTCAACAGAGGGAAAGTTACATTTCATTTTCACTCTTGCCTGTCGCAATCTCTTGGAAATCAGAAAAGCAAAGCAGTTCCATGAAGTGGACTGAGCATAAGAAAGTGTTTTTAAATTTAACAGATTCAAATACAGATTTCTCAAAGACATTTAGCCCACCTCTATTATTTTTAGATTAGATTTTGCCTAGAAGTAGAAACAAAGAGGTAGTCATTAATTTCTGTAATAATATTTCTCTGACATGTTTCTTCATTTCAAATAATTAATTTAGAACTTTTTCAATTAAACCCCTTTAACAGGTATGTTTCTAGAAGTCTTTAAAGGAACATAACTAGGGACAAACAATACTGAATGAATTTAACTGCAGGTGTTCTGCAATCCCCCTTTCTCTTAAAGGTCTTTTGTTAAGTTTTTAAAGACATCTTAAGTTTCACTTGGTTGTTATATTTTTAAACAAACTCCCCATCCCGTATCCAAACATCTGAAGTCTCCTTTCCTGGATTAAAAGCAGAGATCATAACCCATCATAACAAGTATGTAAAGATGACAAACATCCTAATTTTCAGGTACCAAAAGCTTCCTTCCCCCTGCCCCCCCTTTGCTTACAAAATGAATAATTTAGTCTTTTTTTAGAAAGCAGAAGTTACACACATTGATTTGAAAACCATTTATATTTAAGCGCATCAACTACTGGAAACAAGCCTGAAGTTGTGTCAGAAACATCCATGAGCTTCTTTAGAGTCTTAAAAAAACACATGTAGATAATATATTCTGTAATCTACCCAATCAAACTTCTGTTTTACGGGAAGTTTTGAGTCTCAAAACTTGTACAAGACTGATAAGAGATAGAGTGGATACACAAATAGGAGTGGTGAAGGCTGGGAATTCTGAAGCTCGGGAAGTGAACAGAAAAGAATTCTGCAGTCCATGCATAAGTGTCATTACACTGAAAGGTACTTGCATGCCTACCTTGGTTGTCAGTAACAGTCATTGGTCCATCCCTCTGGTAATTGGCCACACGGGCTCTGAAGGGGCAGTTCACAGGGATCTGGAGATAATTTGGGCCCAGGCGGTGTCTGTGAGTGTCAGGGTATGCAAACAGACGTCCCTAAAATGTCATAAACAGAAAAGAGATCACTGCAGTGGTACATGTCAATTCAAAGCATTGAACACTATTTCACTTATTTTTAAATGCATTATTTACTGAACTGAACCTTCAGCAGTTCTGGTGACATACAGATGCCAAGACAACAGACTAACTCTGACTATGAAGTCTGAGGGAGTGAAGAGAGGCAAAAAAAGAACTGCATGATAGTTCAAGGGTTTATCCAGCTAAAACTGACAAAATACCCTCTTGTTTCCATAGATATAATTTGAAATAACAATTTGGATTTAATCTGAAAAACCATAACATGCAAACATCGATGACTCTGCAACGAGCCTTATCAAATGTTGTGAGCTGTAAGAAATCCGATACTACTTCTAGTCCTGTGGTTTGTATTAGGAATTAGTTATATCTGTATTTCAGAGCACCAAAGTTCACCTCTTACTCGTAAGAATTCAGAATTCTGAGAAACGCTGTAAAAACATGAATAAATGTGCATTGCTGCCATGGCTTCATCCATCCCAGACTGACAACTTTGGTAATTGTTGCAGATGCCCTCTAAAGTCCAGATTTTCTCTTCCTTTAGTTCTGTCCTGTTCTCTTTATATTTCAATTCTGCATGAGCACATCAAATGGTGATCAATAAACCACCACCACAGAAAAAATAAATAAAAAAATCATTTGCTTTTGATCCATCAGGTTTACTGCTGCTACACGAACAGGGATAGGAATGCTTTCATAAACAGCAAAGCAAACAATGCTCACTAGGCCAAATCTCATACACATTGCAGTTTACCTGCAGCATTTTATCAGGGCTAGGTTCAATCCCAGGTGGCATGTTGCTTGGATCATATGCCATCTGTTCCACCTCTGCAAAGTAGTTTACAGGATTCCTGTTCAAGACCAGCTTCCCCACAGGTTGGAGAGGGTAGTCACCATGTGGCCAAACCTATAAGACATAACACACGTACATTAAAACCAACATTATTATAGTATTATCTAGCTTAATTGCCAGGCAGCGTTTGCCTGATTTAAGCCTTGATTGAGAAAATTCATTCCTGCATTTCTTTTTTGCTAACAAACATTGAGAAATGTCTTATTTTAAGAAGTCTTTTGCAACTAATACAGAGTATTAATGCAACTTATTTCATCATCCCAGGATAATCTCAGCTCTTGAGTACTTAAATCAAATACCCGCAGGGGCTTGAAAAACTGCCTAGGAATGCACCTCGTAGGTGGAACTGGTGGCACAATTGTTTTCAGCTACTTCAAAATGCTTAACTAGCTTAACTGGCCTTGTCTTTGTCACTTGAGCCATTATTTTCAAGTTCAAAAAGTCTTCAGCCATTTGGGGAGAGCAATATTAGAGGGGAAAAAAGAGTAGTACAAGTTTTTGTGAGGATTTTCCAACAGGCCATTCCTAGGAACAGCTATTGGAAGTCTGACAAAATTAGACCAACAGAGCTCAGGGTGTGACCCTCTGATCTGAGATCACAATTCTGAAGTGACATCCAGTTCTGGAATCAAGCCCTATCCCTATTTCACTGAGGAAGAGTAACATCAGATACAACATCACTGCAATTTCATCTCCAGAATTTGACTCATCATGGCTATATAATGAAGAGTACACTTAAAAACTAGAAGGGAAGAATAAAAAGGCCAGACTAATTTTATTGACAGGAACTAGTAAGAGAACAGTGCTACTCCACAGAAACTGTTACACTTTTTTTACAGATAAGCTCGGTTCTGGCACTTGCTACGTTATCTCCTGACCTTTCTTAAACCAGCTGAAATGCAATATTCACAACAGGATCAGAGATACCTTAGTTACATCAAAAGGATTAAATGGAAACCTCTCTGCTTCTTCAAAGGTCATAACTTGAATGTAGAAAGACCATGAGGGATAGTCCCCCTTGGCAATGGCGTTGTAAAGATCACGTATGGCATAGTCAGGATCAGTAGAAGCCAGTCTTCCTGCTTCTTCTACAGAGAGGTTTTTGATGCCCTGGTCAGTCTAAAAGCAATAAAAGCAACAGCACCAGTTACAAAGTATTACAGAAATCATTAATCAGAATGAATTTTAACAAGATTTGTAATCCAAGAGTGAGACTGCCCATGTTCCAACTTGCAACAATTTGAGTTCAGATTTACAGTACATTCAACAGCTGCCTTTCAAATAAAAATCAGTTCATTGATAGTGCTCCAATAACAAGAAACAGTTCCCCAAAGAAGAGTTCTTTATAGTCTAGTAAATGACTGCTGTGTTAGCAAGAACAATGACCCACTATATTGATTAAAGGTATGCTACTGATATTAAACAAGGACACCACACACCTTTTGAGTCCAAGTACTAAAAAGTTGTCTCTGATTTAAACTTGAAAAGTCACTGAACACTTTTATGGTTTTAATCCAACATGGTATATAGCTCTAATACATAAATGGAAAAAAAAAGAAAAGATCAATACCTTGGCATGGAATTTGCAATAAACTGCTCTTCCCTCAGCATTAACCAGTTTAAAAGTATGTGATCCATATCCATTCATGTGGCGATAACCATCGGGAATTCCACGATCACTGAACAGGAAAGACACCTAAAGTGAAGGATGAAACAATATTAAAGGGCTCATCAGATCAAAGATAAAGTGATCATTCAAGACTAAGTTTGTTTATTGCATTAATCTGTATCACTGGAAGCTATGTTAATGTTAGGAATTCCTTGAGGAATTTCCAGTTTAAGTTTTAAGAGTGCTAATGAAAAAACTGCTTTGGTTTTGCACAAAGGAAAACTGGGAATTAAACCTATGTGAAGTTTTATGCCCACAAGAAGTAGACATAAACCTCGTGGTAATGTTATGATCCTCCCCATAAGCACGGAACAGGTAAGCACGGGTAATTTAAATTACAAATATAACTAAGACTACATAGACTTCTAGATCAAACATGGAGAAGAGATAGTTAAAAACATGCTTCATAGCATGATTTTACTAAATAAAGTCAAAGGAGAAGCTCACTTGATGCAAAGACTCAGGGCGAAGACTCCAGAAGTCCCACACCATGTCTGGATCCTTCAAATGAGTCTGAGGGTTCCTCTTTTGGCTATGGATAAAGGATGGAAACTAATTTGTCCAGAAGTGGAGGAGGAAAAAAAAAAGAAATTATATGAGATCAAGAACAAGACAAACAATTTTTCAATGTGTCACAATGAAAGAACAGCATATTGAAAACTGAGACAAAGCTGTAAGATAACTGAAAAATCTTCTACTGTCATGTCCCTCCTGCAACCAATTCATTCACAGACCAGTAAAATTAGGGTAAAGTCAAGCATTTACAATTAGGATAAACAGGTTGTTCAGAGATAAAGACTGTTTTCATTCTGTGATGGATAAGGTGAGAGGTAAATCTTTTCAAATCTGTGTAACTTCACCGAGTATCTGATCTGACTTATAAACAAATGCAAAGACACCAGAAACCATCTTACAAAGAGCTATTAAGCTTACTAAAAGACCAAAAAAATCAGACTTAATACAAAGAATTTGCAAGAAGCTTTTAAAGTGAAAATTTAGAGTGAAAAGTATGAAATCACATAAGTACCATTAGTTCTCAAATTCACTTTTTTTTTAGTAACATCTTTTCAAGTTAAAAATGTTCAGAGCATGTAACAAAGTTTAACAGGTTTTACTTCTCAATGAGGCAAGAATAAGATGTGAATGAACTTTTGGAGTCTTTCCCAAGTACCCTCATCGCTGGTGCTTACCAGGATTGCATCCCGAATAAAGAAGATGGGAGTATTATTTCCCACAAGATCCCAATTCCCATCTTCTGTGTAGAATTTCATTGCAAAGCCTCGAGGGTCACGAACTGTATCAGCTGACCCAGCTTCTCCAGCTTGAAGAAACATATGGACATACAGAAGTCTTAGGAGGGGAAATGCATACAAATTGTAAGCAAAACCCCATATAACTTGAAATTAGGCCATAATATCCTAAAAGGGCATTGAAGTCTTTTCTATACCAAGGAATTTTAGGCATATTTTTAACAGTACTTCAAAGTGTGAACAGAAACCCACCCGAACATTAAAGTTAAAAGAAAGAAAAACAAGTCTATCCACATGAACCAATTAAGAGTGGAATCTGCATTATCACTAACAGAGACATCATCAGATTATAAGGCTGAATCATCTAAAGGCACATTTGTTTCTGTGCATCAAATCCCAGGGTTAAAGCTCTCATGTAGAAGGTAGCAATCTAACCAGCGTGCCTAATAAAATATTATGGAAGGATTGTAATCCTTTAAATTCCTCCTGCTTCATCCAGGACAGAATTTTCAATGGGTAAATTCTACCAAGGCAGAAGTGCCAAGCACAACAGCTGAGCAGAAGTGTTCCAGAAGTGTTCAGAACATCCTGATGAAATAAGCAGGACACTCAACCTCTCATTATAAAAACTGTGCTCTACAGAACGTGTTCAAACAGGGGGAAGGGGAAGAGGAAGGGAAAGTCAAACTCAGCTCCATGTCTTTACTCTCTATCAGGACCCCTTAATTTTTGCTGACACAGCCTTCTTGGACTACTTTTTTCTCTCCAATACTTCCAGAACCAAATCCTCATTAGGATTTCTTTTAAATATAGATAAAGTAGTAACATACACATTATGAATTATAATTTTTTTCTATCAGACAAGATATTGATCAAAATGCATGTTTTAACTTATAGCATTTAAGATTTTGCTAGTTTACGTATTCAACTCTTTAAAAAAATCAGAGTTTATTTCTGGAAGATTGTTTCTTTTCCTTTGCCCAGTATTTAGGTTACATCGTTCATCCCCGAAACATTCCCAGGGCATAAGAGATTACATGTATTTAACTTCCAAGTGTTAAGCTGCAGTGTGCAAGTGTTGATTATGATCCAACCAGAAACAAAGCAGATTTTCTGTTAGAAAAAACACAGTGCAGGTCACCCTCCCTCTCGCATTTCAGTCAGAAAAGTGTCTCCTGAGAGCTCTGACAGAAAGAGGCAGACGGTGCTGAAGGTCTTACACACGATTCATTTAATTAATTAATTTAAATTAATTTAAATTCAGAGGAGGACTGGGTTGGCAAAAAGCATTTGAAACTACCTTAAGTGCTCCACACTGCTCTCACGGGAACCAAGGCACACATAGGAGAGGGTACACAGTAATTTTAAAGTCTTACCAACAGTGGAGAATCGAATAGCAAGAGGAGTTCTTTTCCCAACGTGCTCAAACACTTTTGCCTTGCAATACTGGGTGATATCATGAGTGACTTCAAAATAGCCAAAGGCTCCTGAAGAACAGGAATTCCAAAAGATCAGCTCTAGGTACCTTCGTTCCACTCATCTGTTATTCTACTGTGGTCCAACATACAACTTCAAGCCAAAAGCAAACATACAGCAGTTTAAACACAGTTATTTCCATGCTCTAAGCACTCCATTTATTTTCACAAAATGAAACTTGTTTAACACTCTATTTGCACAGTGCTCCCTCTCTGCTCCTTAACTGATTGTTAACAGCTCCCAGTAGCAGTACAGAAGATGCTCTTCTGCCACGATCTGTGTATTTATCTTTATTATTTCTTTAATCCTGCTATGTGTTGCAGAATTTTTGATCCACTTGCAAGCTGGATGAAGCAACAAAACTTTTTCCACTCCCACAGAGCAACTTTTCCCATGTACATTCACGTTATAAATTCATATGCTGCTCCTTCTAGGGCAACACATAACAAAAATCAGAGGTGATAGTTCTACCCTTCTAAGATTAATAATAAATTTTTAAATTATTTAGGGTTTTAAATTAAATATTATATCATCAGCCTGCTTTGGCAGACAGATACATTGGAAGACAAAGCCAAGATTCTCTATTAAATAACATGAAAACAAACATTAAAATAGAGATGATAGGTTTCCCCTTCCAGAGGAATGGGATACTATGGAAGAACACGCAGAGGAAGCAGAGACTGCAGAAAATGCAGTAAAAAAATCGAATAACTACATTTTTTCTACTTAATTTTTTTGAACAATTTTTCAGTGCTTCAAGTTTTGGCACTGAGATTTTTTTAAACCAGGCCCTAGTACTGTTGTTCATATAGATTTATTAGAACTGATAACACTAAATTATAGATAACATAATGCAATTTATTGTCACAATCTACCTGCAAAGCTTTTAACTCTAATTCTACACAAAGAAAATACGTAGGTTTAAACATACCTGCCCCTTTTGCATGCACAACTCTTTCAGGAATCCTCTCTCTGTCAAAATGAGCCATCTCATCAGTGAAAACAACATCTTGGACAAGAAGAGGTCCACGTGGCCCCACCGTCAGAATATTCAGCTTATCCGCTATGGGGTTCCCAGCACTAGTGGTCAAGACATCTGGTTTCTGAAAGCAGGGGACAGTCAATATCACACTCAGCCCTCTGTGTTTAAATCACACAACGTGCAGACTGTTCAACCATTACATGTCACACGAACAAGTATATGACAAAATGACTTAAGTTTCTGGAAGTAGTTACAGAAAATACATGTGTCAACTACATCCCAGTGCTGTGTCTGAGGCTATTTAAGAACAAGAGTTCAAGTCATGTATAATCAAAGAATGTTTTCCATGGTTCAGAAATATCACTTGTTGAGACTATTAGTCTTGCTTCAAGAAAAATTTGGGATGTGAAGAGAAAGTTAAAAAAGCTGCTGGAAAGTAATAAGGAAGAAAGGAGAGGAAGGAGGAGGTAATGTCAGTACAGGGACAGAGGCATAAGGAAAGAGCTGCAGTCACACAGCATAAAGAATAAAAGGGGGTATCTGTGATTACTATTGGTGTGGAAGAGCTATGGAAAATAACAGGAACACCTGAGGAATCATCATTCTGACTCCTGAACCATGGAAGGACCAAGATCAACACAAGCCCTACTGCCAGGAAATGTCCTGTCAAAATGACAGCAATCATAGCTTTTCTTTTTTTTCTAACATTGTTATTGTCTATAAAGAAACTGCCCAAGATAACCCACACTCATCCTTTTTCCCTCCCTTTCACACCTTAACTTAAGAGTTTAAGTTTTTATAGGCTACTTAGAGCAGCAGCAGGAATGATCCCGTAACTGAAAAAATCTCCAAGAAACACCTGCTGGAACTCTGTAGCACCGCAATTAGAGTGTACTCCTATTTTCTCATAAAAAATCCCAGTGGAAAGGACTTTCTCTGCATCACATATGGGTCATACAATTAATCCTCTAAGGCAATACTCCTATATTACTGGGTACTGCAGAAAACATAGCAAGAAAGGTCCATCAGCTCCAGAGACCTGATGGTCACAGGTGCCAGTTCTTCCTGGAGTACATTTGTTGTCAGGAGCCAGGGCAGTGCATATAAAGGACTCAGAAGAACAGAAGTTAGTACAAAGAAAAGAAAATAAAGTTTGCAACGGCGTGAGCTCAAATACCCAAGTCACAGATTAACACTAAACCCAGTCACACGTTGCACTAAACTGCCACGAATCCATATGGGCTCTCTATCCACACCACCCTACCTGGAGCACAGGACACACCAGCATAAACTCACTCAGCCCCTCATAACTACTTCTCCTTCTTTTAAAGTTCTACAGATGAAAAGGGATGGTGAAGAGAAGGAAAAAGCAACTCTTGAGGAGAAAAGCCTTCACTTTTCTATCAGCTACTTAGGGGGTTCCAATTTTCACACTGACAAGGGAAGTTCTGCTTTAAGGGGTTTAATTATGGTAAACAGACAAAATTCTGATGGAAGACTTCTTTTTTCCCCAAGAGGCAACCCCCAAAGGCAGGGAAAGAACAATTATTCACATCCACGCCCAGAGCTCTGGATGAGGCAGAGAATACAGGGAGTTACAGACACTTTGTTTAGCTCAGGTACCTGAATAACCACATAAAAGACATTTGACAGGATAACTGCATTTCCACTGTGTTCTTGCTAATATGCAACACACACTCCTTCAGCTGGCTTGCATCCCCAAAATATCCAAGTTCTTTATTCTTCATTCACCACTTCATTAGCATAAAGACATAAGCATAAATTCAATTCCTTCAGGATGCCTGGAATTCTCACCTACACTGAAATGTGCACAAACATTTAAAAAGACAACGTATAAATAACAAATAGGCACACGATGCTCAGAAACTTAAAGCTGAAATGGGAACTTTCCTGTATTTAAAGTATCGTAAGTCAAAGCAACATCTGCTTAAATCAAAACATTATCTACGGTTTGTCAATGGAAATATGCAAGAGTATGTCATCTTGAAGCATCAACCAAGTTTCACTCAGTCCACAGAGAAACACAGAAAAATTATGCGGAATTACAGCTCTGGTTACCTCAGAATTCTTCATCAGTTCTAAGCAGCCCAGTAGGCTTAAACACACAGGGGCAGAACTATAATGCATATACTACATCTATGACCTTTTCCTCTGCAAAGACCTTGCAACAGCTTGGTAAAAGACAGAATGGAGGAGGAAATGTATCCTTAGTCTTAAAGAGACTTTTTGATTCACCTATGCCTTTAAAATATCTGTGAGATTATCTTAAGGGTAGAAAAAACCTTTGAATATTAGTTGTAAGCCATGCCACAAAGAGCGAAGGTTTGTAGAGGTAACGCAGCCCTTCCCAGCTCAACAGGTCTAAAACCCACTTCATCTCTAATGATCACATTTAGGACTACTAGAAGTAGTTGCTAAAACCACAGCTTGTTGAAACTAAGACTATAAAAAAATTAACAGCTTTGTGGCTGTACAGTCTCTTTTGTTTATGCAAGTAGACTTTCTGAAAGGTCCTTTCTACCATTCTCATTAGAATTTAAAAATATTTACTTTTGCAATGGTAGGATATATTCACTTTGGTTTCAGGATAACCTGTGGAGCGCACAAAATAAGTTCTATCAGTGTGAAGGAAAAGAACCACACAGTAGTTGTAAGAAGAATTCTCACACTACTTTTGGGCTTGAGCTTGTTTGATGCCTGTATTTTCATATGGTTGGGAGCTGCATACAGTCCAAACCTTAAACGACAAGAACTCATGAATCTGCATTTGTATTTCATTACAGCACCAACCTGCCATGACAGAAAGAAGGGAAACAAAGCCAGAAGAATTTTAGTCACTGCTGTTGTAAACACCACACATCAAAGTACACACTTCCAGGCATTACTGATACTTTGTACCTTATACAACTCACTTTAAAATTCTAATAAGTCCTCCCTACTTTCTATCTTAAAGTCTCATGACTCCTTATGCAACACAGACTATGGGTTGCCTCCCAAACCTTCAAATTAATGTTGGCCTGTTTTCAAATGCTGCTATGTTACAGAAAAGCCGACATCCTTACAAAAAGTATTACTCATGGATAAAAAGGAGCCATTATGACACACACTGGGGCTTGATGAAGTCACAATTCAGCAGGTAGTTCTCACACAGCACCTTTTAGAAGTGAGAAGAATAAAATAATATTAAGATGACTTAATAGATATAGTCAGCGGGAACTGAGGCATCCACTTCCATCTTGTAAGATTTCTGCTTAGTAAAACCAGCAGGAAGAGTATTTAATGGAATATACACATTTCTGTCAGAAAATACATAGAGAAACTGTCACAGTGATTTGATGAAGAATGAGGGAAATCAAGTCTTGCAGCATTTATATATTTACCCAAATATTTTGGAAATATTCTATATCTTCAGAAGGCTGAGTGCCATGCTGTTGGTTACATGCTCTTATGATTTCATTCACTTCACAGAATCCCAGAATGGTTTGGGTTGGAAAGGACCCTTTACTTCCAACCCCCTGTAACGGGCAGTGACACCTTCCACTATCCCAGGTTGCTGGTCAAGAGCCGTCCAACCTTGGACACTTCCAGGGATGGGGCAGCCACAGCTTCTCTGGGCCACCTGTGCCAGTGACTCACCACTCTCTCAGCGAAGAACTTTTTCCTAAAAAATTCACTTCAACCTGGTCAGCAAGTCCCCACATACCGCTGAACACACTTTATCTTTTATGTTATTCCCTGGTTACAATTTCACTGGGTTCTACCAATGTGACAGCAAACTGAAATGCAAACATCTGACTTGAGACGATTAACAATATCTCTGCCCAAGGACCTGCCGGCCTGGGCGCAGAGCAGCCCCACCACCGCCTAAGGAATATGCCGGGGCCAGGCAGCGCTGACCGCCCTTATCGCTCGGGGCCAGCCGGCAGCTCCCCTGCCCTCCGTGCGCCTGCTGTTCCCGGGCACGGCCCCAGCCCGTGGGGGCGAGGGCGGAACGGGGCGAGGGCGCCTCGCCCGCCGGCGGTGTCCCGGGGACACCCGCGCACAGCGAGCCCCGCATCCCCCGGAACGCCTCGGGCTCTGCACCCTCCGGCTCCAGGGCTCGCCCGCTCCCCCCGGGGATGCGAGGAACGGGCTGTGCCGGCGAGTACCTGCGAGCCCCGGTGGCTCTTCCACTGCTTCAGCTGGTCCGCGGCGTCGTCCCGCCCGTCGGCCATTTTGCGATCGCGGGCGACCCCCGAGGCAGGAAGGGCGGCGAGGAGGGAAGCGGGAGCTGCGGGAAAGCAGGAGCAGAGGGGCTGCGCTCGCTCCCAGCGAGGAGGCAGCGCCGGAGAGGTCGCTCTGTCGCCTTGTCACCGCCCTGTCACCGTGTCACGGTGTCACCCCTCGGGGACCCGCAGCACCAGCGGGTAGCGGGAGGCACTCCGCGCACGGCTCCTACCCCCGGCACTGCGCCCGCCCCCCGCTACCCCCTCAGCCAATAGAATCGCCGCCAGCCTGCCAGATCGACCTGTGATTGGCCAACAGGCACGTCAATCAGGCCCTGCGAGGCACCGCCCGCCGCCTCGCCCCGAGAGGGCGGTGGGGCCGCGGCGTTCCCCTGTTGCAGCGTAATTAACTAACACGGAGCTGTGAAAGTACTTTTTTTCGGCTCTACTTTAAATTTTGAGATGCCGGAGCTTTCTCCAGCCGCTGAGGGTGGAGGTGTTGTTAAGAAATTACAGGCTCAGGGCGCTGTGAAGGCTGCACTTGCTTACGGAGTTTCAGAGGCAGGGTTGGTTTCGGCAGGAAAAAGATGTTTGTAAACTGCAAAATCAAAGTGACCAAATATAACTATATAAACTATATAAATGTATAGCTATATAAAGGCTCGCTCTTGTACCTTAAACGAGGTACAGGTCATACATTAACATTGGTAATAATCGTATGCGCCCAATAGTAAAGAGTATTTCTTTAGAGCTCTGAATGTATACCCTTAAAAAACCCCCACTTTTGAATTAATAATGTAGTTATGCTTACGAATCATGAGATAAATACTGTTCTCCCATTAGGCACTGGTAACACTGAATCTGGCTTTGTGCCCAATTCATGTACCACAGCTGATAAAAGTGGTTAACAGCTGGTTGTTTTTCCTAATTCTGAGGTAAAACATTTGAGCAACATGAATATTCTACCTTAAACTGCGAGGTTATGCTTGCATTCTTTTCTCTTAACAGACACAAAGAGTTGTCTAGCTCATTATTTCAATCTGACAATTGCTTTATCTAGTATATGTTATTGAGAATTAGAGGCTTAAACCTCTGTCTGTACTACACAGGGGAATATCATTAATTTTCCTCAGAATTAAGAACAGAAAACTCCCTTTTTTCTGCTTCAGCCTTATTTGGTACATTTCTTTCATGTCTCTGAGTTTCATAATCTTTTTTTCCTTAACATGATAACCAACATCATAAAAAAGAGCAAGGAAGGTCACCTATGTTTCTGATATTTCTATACAAAATATACATCATCAGACTATACCATCTAGATTTACTACTAGGATTGCACACACATGATTTTTTTCAATCAGTGATTGATATTTCAGTTTGCTTAATCAGCAACATGAGGAAAATGTGGACATTTTCATGAAAAGCTATTGTTTGCTTTTCCTTTAAAGTTTAACGTTTCTGGTCAAGGTGTGTAGATAACCTTGCTGGTCACAAATCTGTTTCAAAATAAGAGTAACTTGTAAAAACTGCTTCTTTCCTCTCCCATCAACCCTTCTTATTATATGCTAGAGAAAAAGATATAAGTGTATATACATACGTGTATGTTTGCATAAAAAAACAAACAAGAAGAGATTAAATATTGACCAAGGAAATATGCAAAAGCCAAAATAAAACCCAAGGGAGAGCAGGTGGCAACATCAATGGCATGTATTGCAAACAGTGTTTGCACTTCAGCTTAACTAAAACCAAGTGACTGTGTTTCATAAGAAAGGTCATATAAAGCTAAGCCTGACACAAATACATTTATCTCTCACCTTGCTCTAATTCTTTACCTTTTTAGTCAAGAAAGCAGTGAATACTGTTTTGAATCCCACTGGTTTCTTGCTATGGTATCTTCGTTTATTTCCTTTTTTCCGCCCTTCTATCTTGATATTTGTTTCCTGCGGCGTCTTATTTGCCTGTGTGAGCCTCCTGTTATACATGTGTTAAGTAAACAAACCATTAACAATTCTGAATTAATCATCTTTATTTACCTGGGGAGACTGGTTCTGTGTTGCTGCATGACTTTCTGAGGCATAATCCAAACCACACTTCAGCCTTAATTAAGATTTTGGGAGATTAAAAGTCATGGTGCTTTTAATTTGTGTTTTGTTTTCTGTATTTAAAGTGAGTTTAAACACAAAACTGCAATGTCAGTGTCACTCACACACACATACACAATTGTGTTGTAAATAGAACTTACACGTAATTCAGTGTTTTACACCCAAGGGAATTAGTTGAGTAGGAGGTCCACAGTGCCTGTTGCTTTGCTAATTAAATTACACAGGCATCCAAACCTTTATTTTATTCTAAAAGACCAGAAAAGAGAAGCACAAGGCAGAGAGTGCCTACTTCTTAATTAAGTTGGTTATTGATGAGAACAGTGATCACAGGATTGGGCAACCTAATTTTTGACACTTCCACTAAATATGTTCAAACTTGTATCTTCCTGAGTATCCAAACTATGTATCTAGAGGTGAGGCTTGGATACGTTTTCTACCTATGCCACAAGGAATAAGGTCAGAAAGAAAAACATAAAACCTCTGGTTTAGGCTCAAGTAATAAAAATATAATTGATATTACTGAGTATGTTTTCAGTCGTGAAACAAATTCAGCACCGCCTGTACTCCAATTGTGAAGTAATACAATGAATCTATTCTCAAGACGTGAAATAGTAATTGGCCTTTATCAGTAGCCAACCTTTGGATATTTACAGCACCTCAGGAACCTCTGCAAATGACTTTTCCACCCATCCTTTTGCTGTCACACGTGGTGTAAATATCAGGGCCCAGAAAAGTCACTGAAAGAGCAACATAGACTAATATTTATCTGTTTACTCACACAACAGAGGATTGAGTATGGCAAATACAGACAGAAAAAGAAGGTTGCTATTATATTTTGGAAAAAACCCCAGAGACGTATGAATAGAAACAACAGATTAATGTCCATTGTAATACAGAAGACAGAACATATTGTCTGTCTTGATTTCAAGCTGACAATACACACCCAAAATAATTTTATATGTCAAACTTGCAATTACAGACACGTGAATTTCATGCTCTTAAAGGCCTTTCAACCTCTGGGTGGCATGTGGGAGATGCTGGACATAGTCTGTGGTGATAGAGAGGTAATAATAAACTGGTCATCTCTATGTACTCTGTGGGGTATGTCTGAAAGCAATTTACAGCTTAAGCCATCACGGTGATAAGTTTATCATTCAGTAACTTGACTATATGTAGACTTCTGAATTTTGTATTTTCAGTTATCAGATCTAGTGGAAAACATTGAAAACATGAGAGTGACTTCAGTGATTTTGAACTATATGTCTTCAAACTTTGTGGTTCCTAAATGCCAATAGATACACCAGCCCTAGAGCAAAATAATTTTTTCTGTATTTTTTACCAAAACCAGAATGTAATTAATCTATGTGTTTCATATTTAGTGCTGGAAAGACAGCTGCAATATAGTCCTTGAGGTAAGTGAAAGAAGAACAAAAGAATAAGAAATACAGCATTGTCAAGTGGCGAGTTACTCAAACATGTGTTTGGCATCCTGGATATTTATGTTTTTATTCCATAAAACTACATTATTAAAATTAATTCACATCGTACACATACAATTTTCTTTTGTTAATGTAGCTCTTTTTATTTGATTCTCTTTCAAGCTCGAGCACCCATAAGGTTAGGAATGTTTTCCTGCATTTGTCCCCTGTATTATTAGCAGCATTATCTGAAGCATTTACCTAATAAATAATAAAACATCTGTTTTGAAACATGTTTTTGCCCATAAAAGCTTCATTCTGCATAACAAAAGATTTCCAGCTGAACACAGCAATATTTTGTCCAGTTGTTAGAATCAGAAGCTCTGAAGCTTTTAAATGGGTCAACCATTAGTATGATTTAGTCACATGTACTTTAAATTAGTCAAGTGCTTAATTGGCATGCTGGGTGTTTGCATGTATAAATATAGATGTTTGATCCAAGAGATACCTTGATACAATAGGTGTCATTTCATGTGTTCTAATCCTCTAGAAAGAAGAGAATCCTAAATGAACTGGTTTTTCAAACCAATTGGATTTCCAGAAAATTAAAGGCAATTAAAAATGTTGGCTGCCAAGCAGGACTGGAAAATCAGGCTGTTGTTTCATTGCCAGGAAAAATTAGATATGTGCCTCTGAAAAATTTGGATATAGGCATATATACTTTACGATATCAACAGGTTTACCAGCAGGGAAAGAAAAGCCCTAATTAGTGTAATTTTGAGTGCATGACTGACATTTAGGTCGTGAAGTGAATAACACCAGCTAGAATGGATTTAGGCATGGTTCTAATATCAAATTTCAGTTAGTTTTGGTATTAAAACAGTGTAAAATTTGTCATCTGATTACACATTGTTCTTTTCCGTGGTGATTTCTGAATTTTTTTATGGATCATGGTGGTGACTGAAAGAGATTATAATGTTATCACAGGGAGTTTATGGGAAAAAAACCAAACAAAACAGTCAGTGGAATGGCAACAAATGGGAGGGATTTGTGTCATGGATGTTGGTAAACAAGGAAAGACAAAGAAGAAGGTTTGCAAGGTACAAAAAGAAAAAATGTCATTATTTTTGAAACCAATAGGCAAATAGCTCTAGTCACTAAAGCAAATCTGAGGGATTTAAGTCAGGCAGGTAATGATGTTTAGGTGCCTAAAAAAAGGCTGGATATATATTTTTTGTGTCAGTTGTGAAAGATGCGAAGCTCTGCAAGCAGAGAAACATCAAAGCCTCTTCCAGTGCATGTGACAAATGGAACAGGGACACGTGGTATTTGGATGCCACAGTCTCAGAGAGCACTTTACATATATAATAATCTGCCCTGATGACTTGATGGGTCAAGTTCCTATGGAATCACCTGGAGGGAATTGCTGCTAATTCCCAGTGTTCAGATTGCCTGCCAGGATCCCATTAAGATAATATTTTCTAAATTTGATATGCTTATGATCCAAATGTAGTTTAATATTGTTTCTCTTACACCTTTTTTTTTGTCCTGAAAACACACACACTTTAAAATATGGCAGTTCATCACTGATTCATTTTTATTAATTAAGAGATGCTGAACATAACTCCGATATTTTTAAGGTAATTTCAATGAATTGTGATAATAAATGCAGTTTTAAAACTCTGCTTTATTCTAGAAGATG